TCCAGCATTTCATCAGGCTTTCCTGACAGGTAACTGTACCCATTTAATTATACTCCAGGGTAGAGGGAAGTACTGTGAGAATAAAGTGTTTTGTTCAAAAACATAACACATTAACCAGTTCAAGTCTCCAATCCGAACCTCTCCCCCTGGAATCCAGTACACTTACTATGAGGCCATTGCGTCTGTTAACCCTTTAACTCCCATGAGTGACCAAAACAGAATTCCTCCTTACAATATAAATACAATATCAAACAGACAGGTGATGAGAATAAAGAAAAATATAAATTTGAGGATTTTCTAGTTGATCCAATACCAAATTCTCAGAACTAGCATCATAAGAACTGTATGGCAGACAGTAAGGAGAATTACTTATGAAATCTTGGGCATTAAAGGGTAAAATAGACGAAACGTTCCTTCAGTGGAGATTATGAAAAGGTGATGGGAACATTTTAAAAATATTACCAAAAATTGATTTCTCTAGAGTGGAAAGAGATATTCCCCTAGAGAAAGATATAATTCAGTCCCAGATATTTTTTATTTCGCCCTCTGAAGCTCCACCACCAGTAGAGCATTGGCTACGCTTCAGACATTTTTTTGTTGAGTCGGAGGGTCGTTGCTAGCTTCACATGTGACACGGGTCTTGCATACCTCTGAGATCAACAAAAGTTTAAGTAAGTAGAATGATAACATGAAAAGAAAAATTTCTGGTTCGGCCTTTGAACAGAGAAAGATATCGTTCGTTCTGGGACGAGCGTAGGACAGAGAATAAGCATAAACCATCATCACGAAATTTTTATTCTATGCCTCGTGGAGAAGATGTCGGTCTCATCTTCAGGACGAGCTTGTAAGTTGTTTAGGGGTATCATTTTTTTGAATATATCAAAATATTGAGAATAATCTTGGCTTTTGTGGATCAGCGTGTAAAAATTTCTCGCCCTATTTCATCTTCTTTACTGCGTTTTCCCGTCAAACTTAGAAAAAAGCGGCTCTTGTGAAAATTGCCGTTATCACTTGTGGGGTGTAACTGCCAATCACACATTTCAAAATTGAATACAAAGCACGCGTGACTTTGAGGCACGAGTACAAATATCACTGATATCTATCGCTCCTCATTTGCATCAGATTACCGTTAATATGCAGAACAAAGGACGCTTTGCAAATCATAATTAGCAGTTGATTGTTTTGGAACAAAAAAAAAACTTCAGTTGTAACGGTCGCTGAATTCCAGTCAAAGAAAAAACCACGGGCCGAGGAGTGACTACGGCTTAGAGCCATTCCAGTAGTTTCTAACGGCTGTTTGACCCCATAGGTGATTGAAAATTTTATTGCAAAAGGACGATGTTCAAAATAAGAGGTTTCACGTTGCTCTTTGTATTTGCTTGGGTGATAAACGTATCATGTTATTCAGGTAAGTGAGCACTTGTTGTCAAACGAATTGGACATTGGATGATATGAAGGAAAACTCATGTCCAAAATGAACATTTCCAAATCAGTCTCCCAGTCTCCCAAACTTCTTTAGTGTTCGTCGCTTCCTAAACTTTCGGCAATTTGAGCTGGAATGGTACTGATTGTGATTTAAATCAAAAGTGGAGATAGGGTTGACGATTCGAAACTATTTGAATTTTTTGAAATGTTTTGTTTTCGAGCTGACCCAACAAAAACATTGAAGCAGCTCAGGCAGAAAAATTGCCAGAGTCTAAAGCTTTCCTTATAACCCCATTCTATTCTAAAACAAAGCCGTTGTCCCAAAGGCAATGTATTGTTTTTGGGTCATTCATGCTGAAAGCAATGAATGAGATATTGTGGTGAAGCATATTTTGACGGAAGTTGTCGACCGCAGACGGAAGTTGCATTGTAAACCGTGAACGGAAGCAGTCTCGCATGCTACCCCTCCCCACTTAGTGAACGTCAAAATTAATTTCGATGAAGTTCAGAAACTCACGTGGAAAGAAATAAAATTTTTGCATGGTTTAATGATAATAAAAATAATAAATAATAATAATAAAAAATAACAAATAAAAATAATAAAATAATACTAAAAATAATAAAAATAATTGCCCCCGCAGGGTTTTTGGCCCCAGAGGGCCAAAAACCCGAGGAGGCACATTAGGACTCCCCGCGTAATATAGAGGAAGACTGGAGAAGAGGGAATGTGGGTATTTTCGGTAGATCATAACCAGAAAAAATCTCGATTTGATCGCTTGCACGGCCGCAAGGTATCAACGTTTTTCCCGCAAATGGTCATAACTACACAACTGTAAACAACAAGCCCAACTCAAAAAAAAAAAAGAAAATGGTACTGTAGGGCGGGGGCAGCTCTAGTGAGAACTATAACTAGTAATAAAAATAATAACCTCAAATCACATTTCCGAACTTCTAAAAGTGCAACTTGAGTCGAGAAGCCAAAATGTTCTCACCTAAAGGATCCGTGGCGGGTTCATTTCAACACACGCTGTGATCACGCGGAAGAGCACCAGAGACAGCCATATTGGTAAGCCGC